CCAGCACCGGATGGTCTGTCATGAACTGGAGTTTAGTCACCGGTCCCTTATGGCCGCGCATACGCCACAGACCCGACTCAGTGGTCACGTCCCACACGACAATCTCCGTGTCTTTGCCACCGGAGGCCAGCTTAAGACCCACGGCGTCGAAACACAGGGCAGTGACGGGCGACTTGTGTCCGGCAAAAGTCACTCTCAGCTCACCGGTAGTCGCGTCCCACAGGCGTATAGTGCCGTCCGCGTGACCGCTGGCCACGAGTGGGCTATCGCTGGCGTGAGGGGCGGCCGCCAACACAGTCACCTCCGACTGGCACTTGTCGTCGTGGAGAGTGGCCGCCAGTTCGCCAGTCTTCGTGTCCCATACGGCCACTGATTCGCACAGACCGGTGCACAACATACGGCCCGCAGCTGATCCTGAGGTTTGGCCAAAGCGAGCGGCCGCTGCCGCCGATGGCAAGTGGCAGATACCGGCGCCGGCGGATCCGATACAGCCCAACACCGACCGCTGCTGCCATCGCAGGTACTGTTTGGTGATTCCCATCACTCCTGTGTATTATCTTCTTCCCCGGGGAACCGATCGGTTAGTGTCTTAGCGGACAAAACACAAGCAATGATTTGTATAACAATTTAAAGCACGTGTTGTTTAATGAAAATGTGTTTTCATAAACATTGCATTCAATGTCACGTGTTTTGTCAGTACGAGTGAAATGTAATTTTCAATGTAAGTGACTATTCATTCAGATTTATGTCATTTATTTTGCCCCCAATCGCCCCCTAATAATGCTATTTCAATGGCTGACCCCTTACTTACTTAACAACACATATGTATTTTAAAACGTTGTTTGTGGATATAATTAGTAATTATTAATTACTAACTTTTAATGCATTATCATTTAAAACTTATGCCAAAACTAGTATAACTAGTACTAGAGTTTTGATACTTTTAAACACTAGTTATATATAGAGTTATGTGTTTAAAAAGGTATGAATTTTGTAAAGGAGTTATAAAGTACGTCAATAATACATGTTTTCTATCGGTTTGTTTCAATTAAAACGCTTAAACGGCACGTAATCTATGGACAGGTCTTGTCATTGAACGCCAATAACAACAATAACACCCGACGAGTGGTCATTGTCTTAAGTCATTGGATCAACAGTTGGTGATAGTAGTCATACCATTGGCCACACGTGTGTCGACACACTTAATATCAAACATCAGCTGACAGTACACATCGCGAGCGGCGCCGCCACAAGAGCTCAAGTCATTGGCGCCGATCACTGGATCAGCTGTGAGTGATCTCTTAACCTCGTGTCGTCGGCGGACACAGACTATAGCGTCTGCCACCGATGGCCCACTACAAGGGCGCCGCCTCAGAGGCCGGTCGGGCGATGCAGTTGCAGAAGAAGAGGGAGAAAGCGATGGAAGAGTTGGAGCACAAGAAGCGGAAGATCGAGGAGGAGCTGAAAGTGTCGACAATTGGCAGCAAGTTTTCCATCCATTACGACGCCATTGAACAACAGCTGCGGACGTCGACCGTAGGTCTGGTGACGTTGGATCAGATGCGAGCCAAACAAGAGGTGGCGGTGAAGGAGAGGGAGCGACAGTTGGCCCTCAAGACGGAGTCCATTGCGGCCAAAGAGGCGGAGGATAAGCAGCGCCAGAAGGATAAACAGAAGCAACAGGTGATGATTGGGTCAACCGCTGTGGCCGGCGATGGCTATAATCTATTGTCTATTAATGTCTGCATATCATTGTCCGTCACAAACAGATCCAAACGCTTTCGTTTCGTTTCGATGACGACGAGGAGGAAGAAGAAGATGAAGACAATGATAAGGATGGAGAAGACACGACGAAGTCAGTGACCAGTGATGGCGATGACAAACGCGTGGATGAAACCAGTAATAGCGGTGACAACAGTAACGCCGATAAACCAATCGGCGATACAAACAGCGGATCCGATACTAAAGACTCGGCTCACGAGTCCGGTGACGAGTCTTCCAGCGAACCATTGGTTAGTCATTCAGAAGAAGTGCAGAAGAAGGCGCCGGAACTGCCGAAGAAGACCCGTATGATTAAGAACCCAGACGTGGACACGAGTTTCCTACGCGATCGGGACCGCGAAGATGAGGAGAATCTGCTGCGGGAACAGCTGCGACAGGAATGGGTGAACAAACAGGAACAGCTGAAGGGCGAAGACATTGAGATCACGTTCTCCTATTGGGACGGTTCCGGCCATCGCCGCGCGGTGGTCATGAAGAAGGGTCACTCCGTGTATCAGTTCCTCCAGAAGTGTTTGGACACTTTGCGCAAAGAGTTTCACGAGTTGCGGACCGTCACAGCGGATCAGCTCATGTAAGTACCGGTTCGACCACTCCTATGGCAACCGCTATTAAAGCACTTTAACCTCAAGTTTATAACATTTGTTATGTTTTTTTGTCTGTATTTTATGGCCGTATATATCGGGTCCGTATATGTGGTGGTAATGGCTGTGTGTGTGTGTGGGCACAGGTATATCAAGGAGGACCTGATAATACCGCAACACTACACGTTCTACGACTTCATTGTGACCAAAGCTCGGGGCAAATCGGGTCCGCTGTTCGCGTTTGACGTTCACGACGACGTGCGGCTCACTATGGATGTGACGGTAGAGCGCGACGAATCACACGCTGGGAAAGTGCTGCTCAGGTCGTGGTACGAGCGCAACAAACATATATTCCCCGCCAGTCGTTGGGAACCCTACGACCCGACCAAGAGTTACGAGAAGTACACCATTAGTGACCGCAATAAGTGATGTCGTGTGCAGTATTGGTGTACAGCTTTCATCATCAGCTTTGAGTTGAGAGAGAGAGAGAGAGTTTGATAACTTAATTAATACGATTTAATGGGCTTTTCATTTAATGTGAATAAATTGTTTGGTTTGTAAGCCTAGCGTACAATCGTTACCATAGATTGCGATACCATTTCAACCATTGTTTTAAATAATTATGCATTCATTTATTGATTTATACATTTTCAACAATTTAATTAAATAAAACATATATTGATACATATAATTTAGTTGATTCTTGCCAACAATAAAACAACCGTAATTACAATTATGATAAGCAAACAATATGGCAAATAAAATGATGGTTTTGAAGCAAACTGTTGGGATAGGTTCGTATTCAGCAGCCATCTTATTCATAAATGTATAAATTATCACTATCCACTTGGTCTTCATCGTAACCCGAATATTCAATGCCATCGAAATACCATTCAATTCGACAACATTTTGGGATCAGTTTCGGGCAATTGTTAACCAATTGTTGTTCCCATAATCGGTGATCCTTTTTGTACGAATCGTTGTTGTATAAGAAAACTCGTGTCAAATATTTTAATCGCAACAAACAATCGATGGCCTCGTCATCCAATTCCACGCTCTTTATGTGAATATCTCTGAGTTGTGGCAAATGTTTGTCGATATCAGTGAAGAAGTGGACACCATTTACACAGTTATCTTTGACTGCATTTATCTGTAAATGTGTTATACGTTTGCATTCAGACAATAGTCCACACGTTATGTCAAAGTCTTGCGGTTTGTCTTCCGGTATCTCTGACCACATCGTCAGGCGTTGTATTTGTTTGAAGTATTTGTTGATAATATCAGACATAATATACGACGGATTCACTGCGATATCAAGACTTAATTTCCGTAGTTTACGACAATTGACACCAATTTGTTTCATTGCATTCAATGCCAACATTTGCAATGTTTCATCGCTTCCATCAAAATAAAGATAAAATTGTCTCATTTCTCGCATTTGCGACAAATTCTTGAATAATATATCAATTGATCTCTTGTCACACGAGTTGTCGATCTCTATAACAATTGATTTCAATGTATTTCTATAGCAATCGACGAAAGCAGCGATTCTTGTCGTGTCTTCGGGTCTATAAGTGAAGTTAAAGTCAAACATCTTTTTAAAGTAAACTTCATTTTCATCACTAATTATATGTGAAAACACAGAATCGGTTGCAGTTATGAAACTGATGTTAAATTTAAGCAAATTGTGGCAATTCTTCATATTCTTCGTGAGCGAAGTCTGTATTAACTGATTATCATTTGTGTGACATTTGATTGATTTTAATTGTTTGGAAAACTTTGCGAAAAACCTGTCAATCATTTCTGCGCTAATTTCATCGAAACTAATATCAATTGATTGCAATTTATGGCAATATTTCATAACTAACTCCAGCTTTGGATCCGTTATATGACTCCCAAACCTATGTCGGGTTGAGTGACACAAATGAGTGATATTTTGGCACTTCTTTAATGCCAACTCAAGTGTTGACAAATCGGACCATTGATTGTCTCTATCGTAAGGGATATCCAATTGTGTATTGAATACAAGTCTTCGCCACTGTTTTGATAGACATTCACAACGGAATCGGTCTTCAAATGTGAGGAAAGACAACAACTCTTCGCACAAATCGTCACCAAATCTGTCAAAACTATCTCTACTATAGATTTGTGGCATTTTTGTGGCACAAAATGATTAATACTTTTAATTCAATTCAAAACACTTTTGCTTACATTTCGCACAACTTTAGGTTTGCGCCAAAAGTGTTACACTTATTGAGCCTTTACTGCCATCTATTGGAAGACCATTACTGGCCGTAGTTTTAGAATTTTATACCAAATATACTTATGATTTAGTTGAACACCGATAGTTGATTCTTACTAACAATCAACTTACCGTAATTATAATTATGATAAGCAAACAATAGGGCATAATAAAAATGATGGTAAATTTAATTGTTTAGTACATTTTACCCAACTTTTAGGACAGGTGTTGGTTCACATATCATCGAGATGTAAGTTAGCCACATATTCAGCAATATCGCGGGCATCATAATCACTGCCATCTTCGTTGTATTCGCTAAATTCAATGCCATTGAACCACAATTCAATTCGACAACATTTTGGGATCAGTTTCCGACTCTTTATGTAAATATCTCTGAGTTTTGGTAAATGTTTGTCGATATGAGCGAAGAAGTGGACACCACTTGTCTGGTGTTCGGCTGTAGTTATCTGTAAATGTGTTATACGTTTGAATTCAGACAATAGTTCGCACGTTATGTACAATTTATTGTAAATTTTAATAAATAGTTTTAATTGGTCATTTTAATTAAATTTACATTTTCGCTAAATATAATGTCTGACATTAAATTATTACAAGTAAATTAAAATGTATACAAATACAGATAACTGTTAAAAATTTAAATAACATATGGCACAAAATTATTATTTTATTCCTTAAGCCAAAATATTATTTTTTAAAATGCTCATTTATTGAACATTGATATATGTTAACATATGCTGATTATATATTTTAGCTAATTAAAATTATCAAATTAAAACATGAAAATTTTACATTTTTAATAAACATTTAGGCTAAAGTTTCAAAATTTAGCTTAAATTAAAGATTCATTTAAATATTTAACTGAAATTTTCATACCTACATACAGTATAGTTGCATATGTAATAATAATTAATCAAATTTTATATATGGTCATACAATATATTTATTACCGTAATAATTAATTTCCATAAAAATATTCCAAGAAACTGTGTTACAAAACACGGATATTAATCAAAGTATTATAATTAATCACCATGATGCAAAAATCTGCTATCTACGTAAATGTATTTAAGCAACAAAACTATATAAACTTGAACAAATGCAAAACAATTTTTATTCAAGAAATTTCTTTGTCAGTGAATTTATTTTAATATAACTGCTAACCAGTAAAATAAAATTTTATCTAGGCGGCCGATATCTTTCCTCCAGTCTGATATTACAATATCTTCCAAACGGAATGAGCTAGCTCAAATCTGTAAACGGTAAAATAATGTCCCATATATCTAATATTTTATCTGAAAAAATTATTCAAATCACGTGACTAGAACATAGAAATTTCTGGGTCATTTCGAAATGTCATATTTTTAGCCCCCTTGTAAGGGGGGTCGGGGAGGGGCGGGTATGCTATTCAAAAAAGGAGATGTCAAAGAGTAATAATAACTTAGAACCACAATCATCGAATTGCTAGATTTAACACAGCAGGTTAGCAAACTTTTGCAAATTTTGCATGTTAACCTATGGGACTGAAATAAATATTATATTTAAATATGACTAACTATATTTTTGAATACTACATTAAATGTTCATAATATTAGTTAAAATATTTTTGAAAAAATATCATTCCAAAGGCAAAATATCGTAAACTAAAACATCGCAATTT